CATCTCACACACACACACACACATATATATATATATATATATATATATATATATTTAACTTTACATTTCGAATAACATATTTCTTACTCAACTTGTCTAAGTATATTTTAAATTTTAAATCGCAAACTAAGTAATGGATACCCTAGATAATTTTTACAATTACATCATGTGAAAATTATATCTATTTTTCTCTTCACGAAATTTGAATAAATGCAGCCATATTAAAACTTGTGCATTTTGAGAGAAAAAAATATACACAAAATTATAAGATGATATGATTATACGAGAATTGAATACGAAAAAAACTCACTCACCAAAAATTCATCATAAACATCTAATATTTTAAAACATAAAAATTCCAGAGACTTGTATAAAAATTAACAAAACTTTTCTAGTGATAATAATTAACACAGTTTAAAAAAAAGTTAAAGCAAATAATTCAAGTGCTGATAGTATAATCAAATCAAGATACTTATACGAAGAACTAATTTGGTAATGATATTTGATGGAGAGATGGATCAGATTTATTTGGCTTGGTTTCTCAAAAGAGAAAAATCGCACAGTTTGTTCAGCGTCGATCATCTGGGGAAATAATCATCACTTCCATCTCCGCATCACCATTCACATTGCAATTTCAAAACTAAATGATCAGACATACTTTTAGTTAAAAAAAATGCAGACTTTAGCATGAAATTCGAAAAACCTCTCTTAACACAAAAGAAGACGAGATTATTAGTAACCTGAAACCTCTAATGGCATACAAATTCATATGCAAATTTCACACACGGATAAGAGAAACCCAACCCATTAACATAAGCACATTCGAAAGATTGTATTTGAAAAGGCGAAGGCTGTTACAAAAGTGCCAAACCCTAATTTGATGTAGACGATAAAGAAGTAAGCTGAGAGCGTTTATATATAAAGAGGAGGAAACCCTAATTTGGGGTTGGGAGAAGCTTCTAGTTCTAGTGGCGATAAAAAGCGAAGGAGATAGGTTAATTACGGGCCCTTTGCCGGAGCCCTTTTCTGTATTGACAGGCCCAATTAGTTTATTACCAAATCCAGTAATAATTGGGCTGATCGACCATATTAAAAGTGACGGCGATGATATATACACCTCCTATTTTTTATAAATACATCTCCAATTTTTTTTTTTAAATAAAATTTCTAAAATATTTTTTTAATTAAATATGATTATGTTGATTGAAATGTTAATTTTAGCATTTTAGAAAGTATTTTCCAGAATAGTAAAATTATTGTTCCGAAAAATATTTTCCAGAAGTGTGTTTCTTAAATAATTACAAAAAGTTTTTTCTGGAACATTAAATTTAATATTCCGGAAAATATTTTCCAGAATTATGTAACAAACACACTTCCGAAAAATACTTTCTCGAATAAAAAATTTACTATTCTTAAATGTACTTTCCGGAACAAAAATTTTATTATTCTGGAAAACACTTTCTGGAACAAATAGTGAGAAGAATTACTTGGAAGAAAAAATACATATAATTTGACACCTTTTCCTTCGATACTGAACCCGCTTACAGCTTATAACAAAACCAAAAAGGGAAAAGAATAATGCAGAAATTGAAAAGGGAAGAATGAGAAGTAAGGAGGTGCGGAGAAAAAAGTAAAGAAGAAGAAACGGTGTACACAAAGAAGAAAAAAGAACAGTGAGAAGAGAGGTGTGAATCTGAAAAATTATAAATTAAAGAAATATTGAAGATAATTTAGAAATTTAATATTTAAAAAAAAAAGAGAGTATATTTATAAAGAAATAGAGATGTGTATATCATTAGCTCCCGAACAGTTCCACATTTTGCATTGTTTTTTGGTGTACTGAATTTTGCAATTATGTTTTACTACGTGATGCATGAAATTATATGATTTTATCAATAATTTTTCACAATTTTTTTTTTCAACCACATCTTGCATTCATTTCAAAACATTTTCCCTGACACAAAACATTTATAATGTGTTTGGATGAAGAATTTAAATGGAATAATTTATTTATTTAAAGAATTTTAAATTTTTTAGAGTGAAATATCTTGTTTGGATGGAGAATTTATAAAGAATTTGAAATTTAAGCATTTGTAAAATTCTTTGAAATAGTAAAATTTAAAATTCTCCTAAAAAAGTAAGAATTTAAAATTCTTCATATTTTTTTTTCTTCTTATTTCACTTATATATTTTATCTTATCTCTTATTTTTTCATGTTTTTAATTATTGAATATTCAAAAATATTTTTAAAATTATTAAATATTATCTAATATTAAATTTTAAAATTATTAAATATTTTAAAATTAGCTAATATTTATTTTTATAAAATTTAATTCAAAAATATCAACATATAAAAATATTATTAAAATTAATTTTACCATGGTAGAATCAAATTATTATATCTTACTTAAAAATTTAAAATTTAAGAAATTTGAATTGACTTATCCAAACAAAATATTTTAAGAATGATAGAAATTGAAATCAAAGTAATTCAAATACAAAAAAATTAAAATTCCTTGAATTTGTAAAATTCCCCATCTAAACACACCATTAGAGTATGTTTGAAAAAGGGGAAGAGCGAGTAAGGAAGAAAAGAGAAATGTATGGAAATTAAAATCTCTTATCTTTTTTTTTTTATTTTTATTTTAATCTTTTTCCACTTTTATTTTATCAATTTTTTTAAAATTTTTATTTTATACTTTTTTTTTTTTACATTTTTCTCCTTCAGTTAATTTTATCTTTTATATTTTCCATTTTTTTCTTTTCCAGATGTATTTTTCTTCACATTTATTTTATCATTTAAAAAAAAATATTTTAACATTCATTTTTTCTTTTGCACTTTTTTTTATATTATTTCCCTTCAGTAATTTTTTCCTTTTATATTTTTCATTTTTTTTTCTTTTCCACATGTATTTTTAGAATTTTTGTTTACTGTTTTATAAATTTTGTAATTTTTTTTATTTTGTTTATCTTTTGTGACTCAACTTTTTTTCTAGTTTTTAAAATTAATTATATATATATATATATTTATTATATACTAAAATTTTAAATAAATTA